TGTCCCTTTGTAGCCTGTTATTTTCTCCATTTTTTTTCCAGGGGGTATTGAGGCCAGAGAAATTAAGTAGCTTCATGGGCTTCAAGCTCGAAAATGAAGCTGGAAGTCTGGTTTGTCCAACCCCAGAGTAATCTATTAACCTTTACCCTTGCTTCACTGGCACTACAAATGGTGAATTGTTGAAAACGGTTATATGAACTAGTTACCTCAAACAAGTCTTTCTGGATGTGGCATTTCATAAAACTAAATGAGGCTTCACCACATTGTGATTTGAGTCTATCAGTGTAGGGGCTTCTTCCTCCCTGCAGTGCACGAGGGCAAGCATTACACAGCTCCTATCTTGCGATCTGGGCTGTGGAAGCTACTGCCCATAGGGAGGAGTGGCAGAGCCAAGGGCAGCGAAAGGACAGCACCCTGGGACTGGCTGTAAAGAAATGAAACAGGTGCCCTGGCCAGTGTGGCTCAGTAGGATGAGCATCGTCCCATGCAACAAAAAGTTGGGTTTGATTCCCAGTCAGAGCACATGCCTGGGTTGTAGGCTCATCCTCAGTGTGTGTGTGTGTGTGTGTAGCGGGGGGTGGGGGGGAGTGCAGGAGGCAGACAACTGATGTTTCCCCCTCCTCTAAAATCAATAAAAGCATATTTTAAAAAAAGGAAACAGGTTTTCTTAGTAGCTGACAAATGGGCTCTGAAGACCTTGTTCTAACAAGATGACTCTTTTTTAAAAAAATATTTTTTTCTTGATTTTAGAGAGGAAGGGAAAGGGGGAGAGAGATAGAAACAAAAATGATGATAGAGAATCGTTGATCGTCCCCTCCCCCCAAGCCCCTCATGGGGATCAAGCCTGAAATCCAGGCATATGTCCCAACCAGGATCTGAACCATGACCTCCTCGCTCATGGGTTGACTCAACCACTGAGCCACCTGGCCAGGCCTAAAAAGATGACTGTTTTAAAGAATAGCACTCATTTTAATTTGAAAACTTGATAAGTATGTGGGGAAAAATCAGTTTTGTAACTTTTAAATCTCATCCTACCTTCTGTTCATAAGTGATAAAAAGAAAAATCCAACTTGTGTACTTCTGCCATATTCTACTCTTATTAGGCAGTTGTATAGTGTTTGTGATTCAATGAGAAGACTTTAGGGATCTAGTAATACATACAGTCAGTGCTCTATGCATTTGAATTGGTCTCCCATATGATCTAGAACTTCAGGGTTTTGACATCATGAAACAACATTTTAATTTCATTTTATTGATTAAATTTTATACTGTGCCAGGCATTGTGGCATTTCACATAAATATTGAGGACCTAAGAGTGGGAAATTTGGTTAATACATTTGAAAGATGGCCAAACATGCCTTGCATATAACCTAAGTACAAAGTGAAGCAACTCGTGGTGATGCAAGTCTGAGGCAACATTTCACTTGTGTTATCCAGGCTTTTTTATTTTTTGTTTTAAATTTACCTTTATTGTTGAAAGTAATGCAGTTGTACCCTCCCCCAACTCCACCCCCTACCCCTTTTAGCCTGCCCTCACTCCAGGCCTTCACCATCCTATTGTCTGTCATGGGTTGGTTATGCATAAGTTCTTTGGTTAATCTCTTCCCACCCACCCACCTACCCACTCCGACCTTCCCTCTGATAGCCATCAATCTGTTCCCTATTTCTGCATTTCTGGATCTGTTTTATTTACCAGTTTATATTGTTCTTCAGATTGCACATGTGAGTGAGATCATGTGATACTTTCTCTCACTGGGCTTATTGCAGGCTTTTCAAAGTCCCTACAGTATGTGCCAAGTGTGCACTAATGTCTACACTTAAAACAGGGCAACTTGCAGTATGAAAAAGGAAGGCGGCAAAGTAGGTACAGCTTGGTGTTTCAAGGGTTGGAAAACATTTCAAGGATTCCGGTCAAATCCTGGGGAAACAGATTGAGGCAACAAAATAACAAGGTGAAGTTGGAAAGTTTCCTGTAGCGTTCAGTTTCTTACAGGAAGTCTGCAGTTCCTGAATGTGAATCTTTTGCTGAATGGTCAAAAGGAAGCCTGTTGGGCTTCTTGCTCTCTCTGTTTTGTTTCAGAGGGTGGGGATCACACAAGTTTGTCCCTTTCCTGCTTCTAGCTAGCCGCTTGGCCCTAAGCTAGGCCTGAAGACGCAGGTTAAGCCAGAGTTCCCTTTGTTCCAGGTGAGCAGCAGCCATGCCCAGGACTGCATTGAGAGGCTGCTGTTCTGTTGGAAGCTGGCTTCTCAAAGGTCATTGCCCTCAGGACTGGTGGGAAGTTCTTTCATGTGTTGCCTCCAGTGCCTCCTATTAATACTCCGCCCCCCACTTTGGGTTATTTTGAGTAAGTGTAATTCTTCTCTTTGAAATGTCTCCAAATATTTGAAAAGAGACTTCTCTTATCAAGGTTAAACAGCTTCCCTTCCGGAGAAATTTTTCATGGTTTTGAGGTCTCTTTCCCTTTTCTAAATGCTTCTTTCTAAAGTGTGTTATTCAGAAAAATTTCAAATATAGTCTAATAAACATAGAACAAATGTTCCTATGACAAACACTATACTTTTGATGAAATCAGTCAAATGGTATGTAGATTATTTCCCCCTCAGACCCAGCACACTGCTAGCTCATATAGGGCTCACTTTCAGTTAAAAATCTCCATCCTTTTAAAAATTTATACTCCCCCTCGCCCCTCCAAAAAAAAAAAATGTTGTACTCTTCCCCAATTCAAGTTCAATTGAGGAAAACAGGGACATACCTCTAAAAACTTTACAGCCTGGCTTCAGTCCATTATCCTTTGAGTACTGTGTAAAAAAATTATGATTTAATTTAATTGTCTTTCTATTTAGCCCATATTCACTTTGTCCACAAAGATAGCATACAACCTTGTCACAGGTCTTACTATTGTCCAGATATGTTGTGTCTACAACAAGCATGTCAAACTCAAAGGCTAACACGGGCCAAATAAAGGTTTAAGTTTATGTGGCCACAAAAAAACAAAACCTTTAATTTTCATAGAAACGTAGGTTGTTTTTTTTTTAAGAGACATGCTGAATACAAAGGGCTGAAATAAATGAGTCATTGTTAACATAAAATAATAGAACATTTTAATAAAAGTTAATATTTCTTCTTGAACATTAACTTACCAGACACCGAATAACTGCACACATTAATAAGCATAACGCAAATAAACCTATTTTTCTTGTTCTCCGAAACCAAAATATTTCCTGTTGCGCACACCAAACAAGTGAGTCCAAGACTAATGAGGTGGCCATCGGCTGCTAAAATTTTCGCTGCTAGTATTAGTGGAGAGAAATGGTGCGCCTGTGCCTAAAGCGTGTAAGGGAAATGAATGCAACACGATTATAGTAATCAGTCAGCGAACGTTATAGTTCGTTATTAATAATTATGTATAACAGGATATTGTAAAAATTAAGTTAGGAAATTTTTATTAAAACGTTTCTTACATACCGTTATATTGTCTCGGCCATAAAAATATTCGTTGTGGGCCGCGAGTTAGACATGCTTGGTCTACATTACATTGGACAGTTTAGTAGGTGAGGGCTTAGTGAACCCATGCTGGGCTACAGTGATCATTGCTTTCTTTTCTAAGTGTTTAAAAACCATCTGTGGCCCTAGCTAGTTGGCTCAGTGGATAGAATGTTGGTCTGCAGACTGAAGGGTCCCTGGTTCAATTCTGGTCAAGGGCATGCATGTACCTCGGTTGCAGGCTCCTCCCTGGCCCAGGCTCTGGTTGGGGCTCATGCAGGAGGCAACCAGTCGATATTTCTCTGTCTTTCCCTCTCTCTTCCACTCTCTCTAATAATCAATGGAAAAATATCCTCGGGCGAGGATTAAAAACAAAACAAACAAAAGCACAGCTGTGATTCTACATCTATCCGGGATAGAAACTCGTGGCTCTGTCAAGCTCTGCTTCATTGCATTTCGGACTCTCTTGTCTCTCAGTTTGATATATCATTGGTTATGTGCTATTCTTTCCACATCTATTTCTTATCTCTTGTAAACCTAAGCTTAGTACAGAGTTCTCTGTAGTTTGCTACACTAATCGCTGTAAGAACCTCCCTTATGTCAAAATCCTATGAAATTGTTATTTTAGATTTACATTCTGGAGAGCTTCCTAGCTATGAAGGCATCTCTAAGTTGTCCCTAAATTTAAAAAATATACATAAAGAAAAGAGAGAATAAATTAAAATTCTGTCCTCAAAAAATTTAGGTACTTGTCAGATCTATACAACGTTCTAAACTGTTACTAAGCTTTTTTTTTTTTTTGCAGCTGGTTTTCAAAGTACTGTAATTATGGATCCTTGTAGACCTTTTAATCTTCACCTCTAAATCTGCAAAACAGGAACCCGTGACTTAAACTGTCTGACTTCATGTGTGTTAGAAATAGAAACTTACACTCTAATATTCTTTGAACTTTTTGGAGGCTGTATGCCTTATTGATTCAGAAAAATTGTTGTGTTTATTTCAGAAATACCTGTTCACATGTAAAGTGTCACTAAAGTTAGATGCATAGAATTTTGTGGCAGGAACACAATAGTGGTGGGCATGGAGAGGAGGGAGTATTTATTAAGAGTTTGCTGTGGCCCTAGCCGATTTTGCTCAGTGGGTAGAGCATCGACCTGTGGACTGAAGGGTCCCAGGTTAAATTCTGGTCAAGGGCACATGCTGGGATTGTGGGCTCCATCCCCAATAGGGGTCGTGCAGGAAGCAGCCTATCAATGATTCTCACCATTGATGTTTCTATCTCTCCCTCCTGCTCTGAAATCAGTTAAAAAAATATGTATGTATATGTATGTGTATATGTATGTGTATATGTATGTGTATAAAGAGTTTGCTATGTGCCAGGTCCTGTGTTGGAAGTAATCTAAGCAGTTGGTAACTGGGAGCTGGATGGAATGATCATTTCGGGATTGAAAGGTGGTTTCTGGTTGTAATGATGGTGCAGTTTGAATTGTTCTGTGTTTTTTTTTTGTTTTTTAAGGAACAGTGAAAATGAGTACCTCACAGGACCAGAATGGCTTCCGTAAGAGAGAACCCCTTCTGAGGTGTCGTGATGCACAGAGGGACTTGGAGCTTGCCATTGGTGGAGTTCTCCGGGCTGAACAGCAAATTAAAGATAACTTGCGAGAGGTATAATGTGTGCTTTTCTCTTGCCGTGTCTGGACTCTTAGCACAGGCATGGTTAGAGCATGGCCAAGGTTTGGCTTCTCAGTGCCAACCAAGAAGTTTCACCCCATGCCTTCCATGGTCTGCCTGAAATGTTGATGTCTTTGATTCCAAAGGGAAATACAGATGTTAGAAGAGTTTGGAAAACTTTGTACCAAGAGAATTAAATTAGTTCAGCATGCATTTTTGATTGCTCTTCTTTGCGGTCCCTGTGCCAAGCAGTGCCATCCAAAAAAACCCCCCAAAAAACGAATGAGCAGTATACTTACTGTTCATCTGTATCCTGGATGCATAAAGGATGGCACAAGATCCTGTCCCCTAACATTTTTTAACTTATTGATTGCATGGTTTTGGTGGTGCCATGGTTGTGTAAATGACTGTCAGAGTAAGCCAGAATGAAATATGTTTGTTCCATTGACTTAATAGTATTCTTTTGGTGACTGGGGAGACCAAGTGGTATTACATGACTTTGAAATACTTTATTATACAGAAAAATGTGTTTTAAAATAATTTTTAAAAAAAATCTATTTTTACTGACTTCAGAGAGGAAGGGAACGAGAGAGAGAGAGAGAAGAGCGAGAGGAGAGAAATCAGTGATGAGAGAGAATCATTGATTGGCTGTCACTTGCACGCCCCCTAGTGGGGATTTGGCTGTCACTTGCACGCCCCCTAGTGGGGATTTGGCTGTCACTTGCACGCCCCCTAGTGGGGATTGAGCCCACAACCCAGGTATGTGCCCTTGACTGGAATCGAACCTGGGCCCCTTCAGTCCCCAGGCTGGCACTCTATCCACTCAGCCAAACTGGCTAGGGCTAAAGTAGTTTTTTAAAAAGGGGTTCTCATTGATAATTTATAACTGTTTTGATTTTTTTCCTTAGGATTTTATATTTACCCCTCTTTGAATCACTGTGTATGCTTCCAGAAACATTTACTTTACAATTTTACTTAAACTGTCTATCCTAGTGGTCTCTGGTTATTGACATATAGTGGCACATCTCTTTATCAAATTGGTCTACCGTCGTCAATGGGTTGCTCATTTGTAATCTGAGAAAAGAGATAAAGGCTAGCTATTAAGTCAATAGTCTTATCTTATTACACTTGTAAATTTATAAAACTATAGGTTTTCAAATTATATGAAACACTGAGGGGGATCAATATTACCTGACATGTTCTTATATTTTCTCTAGATTATTTTAGAACACCCAAAATTAACCTGGCCTCTTAGTATTGTGGGGGGATTTTAGAGCTTAGGTATACTTTTTTGGCTGGAATTCTTAAAATGGGTCCTTCGGGCTTTGGGGACACTAAGCCCAGAAATTATAGGTACAATTTTTAGCATGTGCATTTTTCTGGGGAGATGTCATTGGATAGCCAAAAGAACTTGTGACTCCCAATAGTTTAAGAACCTCACTGTTCAGTGGGAAATAATTATTTGGGCTTATAACAATAGTGAAGCTGCCCTAACCGGTTTGGCTCAGTGGATAGAGCGTCAGCCTGCGGACTCAAGGGTCCCAGGTTCGATTCCGGTCAAGGGCATGTACCTTGGTTGTGGGCATATCCCCAGTAGGGAGTGTGCAGGAGGCAGCTGATCGATGTTTCTCTCTCATCAATGTTTCTAATCCTCTATCCCTCTCCCTTCCTCTCTGTAAAAAATCAATAAAATATATTTAAAAATAAATAACAATAATGAAGCTAATATTAATATGTATGTGTTTCCTAGATCAAAGCCCAGATTCACAGCTGCATAAGCCGTCACTTGGAATGCCTTCGAAGCCGGGAGGTGTGGTTGTATGAACAGGTAGATCTCATCTATCAGCTTAAAGAGGAGACACTTCAGCAGCAGGCCCAGCAGCTCTACTGGGTAAGGTGGCTGGTTTCTAGAGAATGCCTTTCCTGTATTGTGGCATCAGATAAAAGTTTAATCTCAAGTGCTATTTGTTAACTTGGATATATTTGGTGCTTTTTGTATCATTGTGGCAAGGTGGTTTCATTTTTCTTATAGTTACTGGGCCAGTTCAATTGTCTTATTCATCAACTGGAGTGCACCCAAAACAAAGATCTAGCCAATCAAGTGTCCGTGTGCCTGGAGAGGTAAAGACTATCTTTGCTTGTTTTGATTTTTGGCATTTTGACTTTGGTGTATTAAAAAAAAAAGTCACTTTTATAACTCATTGCACCTGTTGGATTTAACTTGACTTCTCTGTTCCTGTGATAAGATCATCTTGTTTTATATTTTTAATATTATACTTGGTGCATGGTTAAGTGATCTATCTTTGGTTGAGAGTCTTAGAAAAGTACAGTCATTTCAGATAATTCACAATTTGGCTTTTGCTTTGGATGAAGTTGAAATAGATATTTCTTTAAAATAGCCAGATTTTATTTATTTTTTTCTCCAGACTGGGCAATTTGACCCTCAAACCTGAAGATTCGACTGTCCTACTCTTTGAAGCAGACACAACTGCTCTGCGCCAGGCCATCACCACGTTTGGGTCCCTCAAGACCATCGTGAGTAATACTGATCTCAGATGGTTCATAGTGTGCTTCTCAGGTCTGTGGCCTCACACGTGGTACTGAAACATCACATTTTTACTTTGAATACTGGCTTTCTAGAGAATTTGGTGAACTTCAGAAATTTCGCATTCTGATTAAGATGACAGGGCATTAGGCTGGTAGTTCTTGGGATGTGGTATTGACTCATGGATAATCTCAAGAATTCACCTGGTATTAAAACTTTTGACATATTTCTTATAAAATTTATGGCTTGAATGGTCTTTCATATAAAGAAGCAAACATGGTCTCATTTGTGTCTTGTTAAAAGTAGTAATACTACCAATTGTGGTGAAATTTCTTGTATGATGTTATATAGTAAATAGAGATTTCTCAGATTTGATAACTACATTGTAGATCATTGAATTTAGTGTAAAGAATATTCTATAGAAATGGTAATGCTTTGCTTAATACTTTTGAAATTATGAATTACAATTTCACTTTTTGATATGAAAGTTAACATTAATAAATATGATTATTTTGCTTTTATTTTATAGCAAATTCCTGAGCAGTTGATGGCTCATGCTAGCTCATCCAATATTGGGCCCTTCATGGAGAAAAGAGGATTTATCCCATTGCTAGAGCAGGTAAAATGTAATTTTGTTTCTGATAACTGATTTATTACTTGGCTAATATTTCTTTTGGGTTTAAGTAAATCACTGTTTTTTTTTTTGCTTTCATTTATTTGTAAAAAGGTAATGGGTTAGTTTATGCAATTAAATTCTTCCTTTGAGATGGACTGTCAAATAGAAATTTAGATGTTTAATAGGTGTTGAGTAACAGAAAGTTATTGTTATCAATTAGTTCATAAGAAATTATCATCAGCCCTAGCCGGTTTGGATCACTGGATAGAACATTGGCCTGTGTAGTGAAGGGTCCAGGGTCCGATTCTAGTCAAGTACATGGACCTCAGTTGCAGGCTTCATATCTCCATTTGTGGTTGGGGTGCATGCGGGAGGCAACCAATCAGTGTGTCTCTCACATGGATGTTTCTCTCTGTCTCTCCCCTTCCCTTCCACTCTCTCAAAATCAATGGCAAAATATCCTTGGGTGAGGATTAAAGACCATTATAAACTTATGAACAAAAATAGATACAGAGGCAGAGCTGCCTCGAACAGACTGTCAAACTACAGCGGGAAAGCTGGGGAGGGTTGGGGGGTAGGAAGGGAAAAGAGATCAACCGAAGGACTTGTATGCATGCATATAAGCATAACCAATGGACATAAGACACTGGGGGGTAGGGGAGGCCGGGGAATTGTTAAGGGCGGGAAAAAAAGGAGACATATGTAATACTCTTTGTAATACTTTAAGCAATAAAACAATTAAAAAAAATAAAAGCAATATAAAAAAATAAAAATAAAAACACTTTCATCATTCTAAACAAAAACTCTGTACCCATTAAGCACTAACTCTACATTTTCCCCCACTCCCAGGCCTTGAAAAAAAAAAAAGTCCTACTAGCAATCAGCGATTGAGAGCAAATGCATATGTAACAGCCGGTGGGCTAATTCTTTATACCTGTCCCATGGCTTGGTCCCCCAATAGCACTGTATGTTGTTCAAAAAAAACCCAACAAACAAACAAACAAAAAAATTGTCATTAGCTCTCTGCTTGAGTTGGTTCTCTCTTGGGAATCCTTTTCTTTATAATTCATAGATTTGATTTACTTCTAAAGGCAATTCAAATATAGGTTGCTAGACATTGTGAGTTGAGAAAGAACCCTGGAACTCAGCCGTACTCCTTCATTTATAATTGTGAATATGGAGGCTTAAGGAAGTCATGTAATTTGTGAAGTTAGTGGCAAGCCAAGATTAGAGAGTTTAGGTCTCCTGCTTTCCTGAACTTTCTACTGCATTTGACATTCATTGCCTTGTTATGTGATTAGCAGAAGTCAGCATCCAGCACCACAGCTGTCCCTCTCAGTGAATGGCTCCTTGGAAGCAAACCAACCAATGGTCATCCAGCTCCTTACACACCCAGCACCAATCTCCAGGACTGGCTCACCCAAAAGCAGACCTTTGAGAGTAGTCAGGTATGTTGTTGCTTTTTTGTTTCTGAGGTAGATGTAGTAGTAGATGGGGTTTTAGTATGTCTTTGTTTAGTTTTTAGTTCTGGTCTAGAAACATGTATTTTTAATAACTTTAAATTACAATAGTGACATTTCTTCGCCATAGAAAGTTTAGTAAACAAAGAACTATATAAAGAAATACAAATAATCCCAACATGCAGACAACCACTGTAACATTTTTTTTTTTAATATACTTCACTAGAGGCCCGATGCATGGATTCGTGCACCGGTGGGGGTCCGTCACCCTGGCCTGCGCCCTCTCGCAATCCAGGACCCATTGGGGAATGTTCGACTGCTGGTTTTGGCCTGATCCCTGCAGCAGGGCCGAAACTGGCAGTCCAACATCCCCGATGGCTGTAGTAGTGCGCAAAGTGGCAGGCGGCCGGGGAGATGCCCGAGCCCTGGCTGGTTGCCCCGCTGCCTCCCGCTCATCCCAGCTGCACTGCGCCTGCCTCTGCCACCACTGCCATGGAGGCCGGGGAGGTGGGAGAGGCTGGTGCTGCCCCAGCTACACTCGCCAGCCATGAGCCGGGCATCTGGTGCCCATTTGTCAGCTGAGCGGCTCTTCCGCTGTGGGAGCGCACTGACCACCAGGGGGCTGCTCCTGCGTTGAGCGTCTGCCCCCTGGTGGTCAGTCATAGCTACCAGTAGTTCAGTTGTTCGGTTGACTGGTTGCTTAGGCTTTTTTTATTTTTATTTTATTTTATTGGTTTTTCTACAGAGAGGAAGGGAGAGGGATAGACACTTAAAAACATTGATGAGAGAGCACCATCAATCAGCTGCCTCCTGCACACCCCCTACTGGGGATGTGCCCACAACCAAGGTACATGCCCTTGACCGGAATCGAACGTGGGACCCTTCAGTCTGCAGGCCGATGCTCTATCCACTGAGCCAAACTGGTTAGGGCTTAGGCTTTTATATATATATAGATTTTTCTATGCATACATATACTTAAAAAATTATACTATAATTCCTGTTTTGGCTATTAGATTTTTTTTTTCACTAAAAATATATTTCTCTGTCACTTAATTTCTTCCATAAAATCCTTAATAGAATATGTTTCATCGATTGGCTATAATTTAATCTTCAGGTTTTTTTTTAGTGGGGAATATAAACAAAGTTCCTCTAAAAATTCAGGAGCTAATTCTTTGTTAGTTCCTTAGGAGAAAATACCTAGAAATGGCATTCTTAGATTACAGTTATAGAATACATATTACCAACTTGGCTTTCCAGGAAATTGATATCAATTTATATTCCCCCCAGCAGAATATTGATTGTATTTGCTTCCCTGAAACTTCTCTAAGAGTACTTATAAGTTTATTTGTGAATTTGACACAAAATAACAATTTTGTTTTAAGGAAATTGAGTATTTTTCCTATTTATTAGCCTTTTTCTATGATTTGCTTAATTATATCTTTTGCTCACTTTTGTCTTTATTCATAGAGGCATATTATGTAGAACTAATTTCTCTTCTATTTATGCTACAAATGCTTTCTCTTAGTTTGCCTTTAATATTTTCCATTTTTTTTAAATTGCAGAAAATGTTTTTTATGTACTCAAATATTTTATTATTGCCACAGAGAAATCCCTTGTCTCTGTATACTTAAATTTAGAAACACTGGGCAATGTAGTAAATAGGCAAATGGGACTGTTATCATTGAATCCTAAAGCACTCATCCTGTTCTGGTGAACTAATATTGTGTACTTTTTGCTTAGACTTCCTCCAGAACCTGCAGTGTCTTTAGTAATGTCTGGGGCAACCTAAAGGGCTTGGAAAACTGGCTCCACAAGAGCCAACAAGAAGTTGTTCCTGAAAAACCAAATTACGAAAAGGGTAACAGCTGTTCTACCACCAGTTCATGCTCCATTGATACTGACAAGGTTGAAGATCCAGAGCTTCTTGATCAAGATGAGATGAGTCTTTCTGATTGGCTGTTGACTGACCAGGACTCTCCAAAGCTGGAGAAGCCTGGGAATGGCAGCTGTGAAACCAGTGAGAAGTTTAAGCGCCTGTTCCAGGTGTTCCATGAGTCCTACAATGTGAATGATTGGCTTGTCAAGTCCGATTCCTGTACCAATTGTCGGGGCAACCAGCCCAAAGGTGTGGAGATTGAAAACCTGGGCAATCTGAAGTGCCTGAATGACCACAGTGAGGCCAAGAAAACCTTGTCCACTCCCAGCATGGTTATTGAGGATTGGCTTGTCCGGAACCATCAGGACCCATATAAAGTAGAGGAGGTCTGCAAAGCCAATGAGCCCTGTACAAGCTTTGCAGAGTGTGTGTGTGATGAAAATTGTGAGAAGGAAGCCATGTCTAAGTGGCTGCTGGAGAAAGAAGGAAAGGATAAAAATGGTATGCCTGCGGAACCAAAATTTGAATCAGAGAAGCATCCAGATTCCCTGAATATGTGGCTCTGTCCTTCCAGGAGAGAGGCAGCAGAACAAGCTAAAATATCAAAGGCAATGGCTGCTTCCAAAATTGCTGATTCCTTCAAAATGATAAGGAACAGTTCCTTGTCAGAGTGGCTCATCATACCCTCATGCAAAGAAGCACATCCCAAAGATAGAGCTGGCAAACAAAAGCTTATGAGTCCGGTGGCCACTTCCTGGTGTCCCTTTAATACAGCTGACTGGGTCTTGCCAGGAAAGAAGACAGGAAACCTCAGCCAGTTATCCTCAGGAGAAGACAAGTGGCTACTACGAAAGAAGGCCAAGGTGGGCAGACATCAAAATAGCACCATTTGAAATATATTTAACAGGTTTTTACTTTCCTAATCCCAAACCTTGCAAATGGCCCAGATCCTTAAACATGTTAAGTGTTAAATTTTGCTTAAGTATTGATTTTGGTACAGTATTAGCAACAGAATGGAGGATTTGTGAATATTCAGACTAAAGTTTTTGAACATTTTCCAGGTTCACAATCTCCATCCTGCAGGGGGAGAAATATACAAAACACGCCAGCCTGTTTCATTGCTATTTATGGGAAAAAATTTAGGGGCAGAGGAAACAATTGTCACCCTTGCTCTTAAAGAGAGAATGCCCAACATTTACATTATTCCTTATTGACACTGTATTATTGGGAAGATTATTTGTAGCAACTCATCTTTTTGTCTTGCAGGAAGTATTACTTAATTCACCCCTGCAGGAGGAACATAACTTCCTCCCAGAACATAATTATGCCCTCCCAGCAGTTTGTGATCTCTTTGCCTGTATGCAGCTTAAAGTTGATAAAGAAAAGTGGCTATATCGAACTCCTCTACAGGTGGGTACATGCCAATAGTGTATGTATTAGATTTTACAGCTTGTTTTCTTATATATAAACTCGTACTTTGCCCATTAAACCAAATTCATATTAATGGAATGAATATTAGGCAAATGAGGGGAGAGGGAGATAATAACATTTCATGTATTTCACTTGAATTTGCTTTATGAAATAACTAGTACATATTTGAAAGTGGCATTTCAAGATATGATGTAGTTGTTGGGAATTTTTGGAACCTGTGTGGATTCAAATAGCTTATTGAGAAATGAGTGAGCTTTTAAGGTGGGGAGAAATGTTTACATGCTACAGTGAAGTGATTGTTTATCTGTGGACCTTTCTTTACAGATGTGAAGGAATGGAGTACTAGAATCAAGCAACTTTTCTGCAAATCATCACATTTCCATGAGCCGAGTGACTGCAGCTTGCCAAATCATTGTGTTTCTGGGTGTGACCAGCCAGTTTAGTTCCTTTCCTGCCTACTTTTGAACTAGTGAAGAGAAATGTCATCACTTATGAATTACTGTGTAAAAGAAAAAGGCTGTTTGTTGATGCTGAGGTGATTCAGTTTCTTCTTACAATTCACCCCTACACTAGAAAGAAACACAGTATCTTGGTGGATATTTCTTTCACAAGTCTCCATGGCTCCTTAGATTGTGTTGTTTTTAGTATATTCAAACTGTCGTTTTAAAAATGAAAGAGTCCTATATTCAAGGTGTTGATTTAAAGCTAGTCAACTTTCTTAACCTTTTGGTTACCCTTCTTTAGATGCTTCCCTTGCTGTGGGTTTTTTCCATTAGTGGTGGAAGTCATTATTTCTTCTGTTTAAGTAATATATAGCATATTTCACACAAATAATTAACCTTGAGAATAGTGATTTTTTTGGGGGGGTAAGCCAAAATGTGTGCCAACATCTTGGCAATTTTTGACATTAATTACAAAACATTTAACCCACAGGTCAGATTCTACATTTTCTTTTGTAAGAAATTAAAGCTACTGCAAATTTTGTATTTATTTCCTTAAGTGTTATTAAATTATCTAGTGAGCGCTTTTAGAAAAGCTCTAAATTGCTTTAAGATGATATTCTGGGTAATCCTAACCTATTTTAAAATATTCTGAAGAAATGCAAGCAAAAGTCTAGCCCCAGTGCCGATTAATCAGAGAGCAAAAGGCAAAACATGTTGGAAATATAGTACTTGAACTATTCATTATCCTAAGGGTTGGTTATTGGTGTATCCTGTGTAAATGGAAGTTGAGCTTGACATTAACACTTGGTGCTTTTAACTAGGGATAAATTAAATGTCCTCACTGCAAGCAGTGTACCTTGTACCTTTACCTCTAAAAGTGCAGTGAGCTGGCTGTTCTGAACACTTGTGCCTTGGGGTGTTTATTGAAGTTTTATGAAAACTGGTGTTTTCTCAAAATTCTTAAAGTCATGCCCACGATTTAAAAAGTTTCTCTGTAGGAGAGAGATGGGATTTGTTTTTAAATTCTTTGATAAGCTGCTTTCCAGGCTTCTAAATTAAGCCACTCAACTTGCCCTGGATATGGTATTGGAAATACTTTAAAGTGTGTGATGTTATCATCTAGAAGCCCCTTTGGGGAAATTTCAGTCTTAACAGTGCCGTTTGCCATACAGCTTCATTGGAATTCTTGAACCATGGCTGGAAAAAGCCCTCTATTATTTTATCTCCCCCAGACACCATTTGGAACTTTAATAAAGGTGGTGGGTAAAAACGTAAGGAGCCTTTCCATTATTTTAGGTTGCAGGAAACTTTGTAGTTTTTGAGGTTTAACACTGTGTATTCCTACATTTACATTAATCACTTTGCTAATTAGTATGTAAAAGTCTTTTGCATTGATGCATTTTGTACTTCCCTCCATTAAAAGTCTAACAGCCATAGTTGTGTGTATTTGTAAAAGTACCTTGTAACAAAATATTCTATCACATGTAAATGTGATAACCTTTGGTTAGTAGTACACTGATAACAAAAATTTTTATATTCAATAAAATATCTGTATTTTATGAATCTTAAGTTAGCAAGAACAGGTATGCTGCTACTAACTTCCATTTTCAGTCTGTTGCTACAAACTCTTCATGTTATTCCTTTTAATTTTCAATCTGCTAAAACTTTCTGCCAAATCCCTCCTTACTAGATGCATCCAAAAAGGCCCCACTTTTTCCAATCATAACCATCAGTTGTTTAGAATTTATTATATATATGTATAATCTGCAGTGCAATTTTATTTTTTCATATATAGAAACTAGAAATAACTTGCCTTTATTTCCTTTCACTTTCCCAAGGCTTCCTTAAAAACTTAAAACTCTTAGCTATTACATCTCTTTTTCTAACTATCCCCAGAAAGGGGACCAGTTAATATATACATAATTAAGCATGATCACTGGACAGGTGGTTCTAGCACACTAATGGTATAATGTTTAATCTGAAGTATCTTGAGGTTATTTAGTGTCAACTCTATTGGAGGGAAATTTTAACCCATCTGTTAATACTGCCAGTAACCCTTCATTTCAATTCAAACATGAAAACATGTTTTAGCCTAGTTGGGGCAAAAAAAAATATGCTAAGAGTAAATTTCACTTTAAAATCAGAAAGATGTTTTTAAATGGAAACACCCACTATGTTTACGTTGGAGTGGACTTTGGTTTTTCACACTTTATTGGGAATACAAGGCAATATTACAGTCTTGGATCATTAAATGAACAAACATGGTGATATAGTACTGACAACAAGAATGACCTGAATGATGGGAGTAAGTGGTTTTCCAGTTCAGGAGGTAACAAAGAGAACAGGTGCAAGATCTTGAAAAAGAACCATATTACTCAGCCACCAAAGGGTTTTGGCTTCAACTCACTAATGGCTGGAAGGAAAGCCAGTCTAGTCAACCATCTTCATCACAGCAATTCGGAAATCTGCACAATTTTTCAAACTATTTGTAGGTATAGAAGAGAACTCCAGATGGACTCATAAATTGATCTGGATGACTACTAAAGTGTCCTCTAGTCACAAGTTGGCAGAATCTTCAGAGTGACTGTTGGAGCAAAGAGCCCTTCATGTGCTCCCAGTTGTTATATAGTGCATAGAGGCTAGTAAGTGTCAGTCCTGCTAGACCACCTCGTGCTACCCCTCGAAGACCACCTGGGGGAGAGAGAAAGAGATTTGTTTTGCATAGTGTCCTAGCACCAAAGGATTAAACGAGTATCAAGATGGAGACATAGCATTCATGTTTATAAATACTCCATCCCAAGCGGAGAGTAAAAGTTTTACAAGTGATATAATAAACCAATCAGGAGATAAATGCCCTAAATCAGTGGTTCTCAACCTTCTGGCCCTTTAAATACAGTTCTTCATGTTGTGACCCAACCATAAAATTATTTTTGTTGCTACTTCATAACTGTAATGTTGCTACTGTTATGAATCGTAATGTAAATATCTGATATGCAGAATGGTCTTAGGCGACCCCTGTGAAAGGGTCGTTTGACCGCCAAAGGGGTCGCGACCCACAGGTTGAGAACCGCTGCCCTAAATGATCTGTTTAATATACATACTATATTTCATTTAAAACATTTTTCAGTGTCACAATTTTTACATAAGAATCAGTATTAACAATTTCTTGACTTTTCTCAATCTGACTTGTTCTTACAATACTTTTAAAGATCTTATGCTTATCATTGAAGTCTCAGCCAGATAAAGTATTTCCTGCTAATACAGACTTCACTGGCACTGTCAACTGACGTAAGGCAATAATATAGACAAGGCGACACTCTCTTTGGAAATAGTGAGCAGCCTTTGGACTCTGCACATGTTCTGAAAATACTAACTTTAAAGATTCAAGTAGTGGTAATAAGTGGCTATAATGAAGGCTTGAGTTAGGTGCTGGTGAAGCACCGCACCCCTGCCCCCATTCCTACATTGATGTGTCGGACAATCTTCTACAACTACCAAGCAATGAGGCTTTTAGCATCATCACACTAGTTGGAAACATTCAAGGATTAGACTCTGCTTAACAACAAAATAGACCAAGCAATGAGGCTTTTAGCATCATCACACTAGTTGAAAACATTCAAGGATTAGACTCTTTGCTTATTTTCGTGTTGAAAAGGATCAGCAATAGATATTTTGTTTGAAATGCAGAAGCAAAAATGTTTCAACCAGTTATTTGAAAATAGCCCCCAAGTCTGCTAGGACAAATGGGGGTTACCAAAAGTAACTTAAGTATTTGATGTTTTCTACAGTTTCGTAAACAAGTAGGGACCATAAACTTTAGGCAGCTACCTCTGCACCTGTGGAGTATTTTTTTCAAGTTGTGTCAGGATTGCAAAGGGAATGGAGCTGCAATCCAGTGATTACCTTATTGAGGTCTGAGACAGGAAATTCTGTGAAATTCAGTGATGTTGCCAAATTCACTTCAACCATTTCGGCAATGAATGTCCTGCCAGATGGTTTCAGCTGATAGATTAAATGGCCACTCCTTCCAGGAGCCTCTCTAGTCTGAAGAGTTCTGATAGCTGAGCTGCTTATTAGGCTTCCACTATGAAACGCCCTAATTATCTCTCTTAAACAGACCCAAACAGAAACTGCATACACAACATCTATAAGTAGATGTCAAATATGGGGAGGGGGAGAGTCAGAAACATCAGAAAAATTTAAATAGGAGATATCTCCTTGAAGTTCAGATCTCTATATCATCTTGTTATAGTTAGACTAGGCATTGCAGTTTAACTTGCAACTGTATTCAATGTGGTTGAAATAAAAGTAATATACACTCAATCTGCTCATTTAAAACAATCTCAGTTTAATAAGGACCTATGAATTATTTTTGATGAGTATGTCAAAAGTTCTATGGGCTGAAAGTGAACTATAATTAGACCAATTTCCTAAAATGGAAAAAACTATAAAGTACAGGAGAATAAAAACTAAGCTATCTGCAAGATCACTATGGCTCAGTTACTAAACCTAAACTTTTGAGTATAATGAGTATAAACAAATTACAAAAATTTAATACTCTAACCATTCTGAGTCAACACAAAGCAAAAGCTAAGGTGGCCTCACTGCTATTGATCAGAAAAATGATGGAAGGCAAGGAACTGAAAGCACAATAATTTCCGCAGATACTCTTTCCTGGGATCAAATATTCGGACTAACTTCCCTGGACCTTTAGGTTAGGACAGTGGTCGGCAAACTGCGGCTCGCGAGCCACATGTGGCTCTTTGGCCCCTTGAGTGTGGCTCTTCCTAAGCCTTAGGAGTACCCTAATTAAGTTAATAACAATGTACCTACCTATACAGTTTAAGTTTAAAAAATTTGGCTCTCAAAAGAAATTTCAATTGTTGTACTGTTGATATTTGGCTCTGTTGACTAATGAGTTTGCCGACCAATGGACTAGGGCAGTGGTTGGCAAACTGCGGCCCCTTGAGTGTGGCTCTTCCACAAAATACCACGTGCGGGCGCGCACGTACAGTGCGATTGAAACTTCATGGCCACACTCAAGGGGACAAAGAGCTACATGTGGCTCGCGAGCCGCAGTTTGCCGACCACTGGGTTAGGAGGTTGCAGACCCAGAGCTCTGAAGTCTGCCTGTGGGTTTGGAAATAGCTGCTAACTGCCTGCCAGTTGGCCCACTGTTTTGAGTATCTTAACATAGTTTCTACTTGACCCTTTTGGGAAGATTTTTACACTAGTTTTCAGCCATCAGATGAACCCCTCCTGGGCATAGGCACTGGGGTAACAATGAAACTGGAAGGCTTTCCGATCTTTGGGACATCAATGGCATATTAAGTATTCATTAACAATTTATCCCCCAGAAAGCTTTCTACTTTCTGACCAAAATAAAACAAACTTAGTTCAAATCAAGTTACTTCTTTGAAGACTAGAAAAAAATTATTTCCAGCAAAAAAAAACACCAAAAATATGCAGTGTTTGATGTACTAAGCAGTTAATCCTTACTCTAGGGTAGCCTTTTATCACATACCAGCCATGTTTTAGTTTTAACTCTTACCACTAACTTTAGAGTTTTCCAACTGGTTGATCTATTAAAAGTTTGAGGACGTTGGCTTTAAGCTTTCTGTAATCAACTTCTGGCTAACTAAGCACAGGAAGTTGATTAGCAAATAACTTGTTCTGAACACAGAGTAATCAAATAAGGCCAACGGTCGGTGTCTGTAAAGCACAACAAACAAGAGAAGTGTTTCACAGATTTACCTTCCATCTTTTGGATCCTTACACAACTCTTCCAGCGAGGGCAAATATTCCTTCTAATCATGGGGAAACGAGGCCCAGAATCTTTAAATGCCTTTTGGGAGGCAGAGAGCTGGCTAATGGCAGAGCTTATATATTGAACTGATAATTACTTTAGAGCAGGAATTGGCAAATTTTTCTTAAAATGGACAGAAAATAAGTATTTTAGGCTCTGAGGGACCAAAGGCTATTATGCAGTACTTATATAAGCATTTAAAATGTAGCTAAAAAAAAAAAAAGTAAAGAATAAGGAATAGACAGGCATCTGGCAAACAGGAACTGGTGGCCCCTGCTTTAGAAGAACAACCTTACCTACACACACACTGAGATGGCTACTAAACATTCAAAATTTTGCATGAACTTGACAATTGTTTTGTATTTTAAAAATTGTTTTAAAATACATGTAACATGGTTATTTACCGTAAGTGTCCAGTTCAGTAGCATTAAGTACACTGGCAATGCTGTGCTACCATCATCATCCATCTCCAGAGAACTTTCATCTTGCAAAACTGAAACTCTGTACCCACTACACTGTATCTCTCCACCCCACTCCCAAAGTAATGCCTACTTTTTATGTTGTTAAATCTTTACTCACTTTTGTTTTTATCAAAGTAGCCCAATACATAATTTAAAAGTCAAGATAGCACTAAAAGACTTTCATTATGCACAATAGTCTGGTGCAGTCCCATCCTCACCTTAATCCCCTGTTCCCTTCCCTAATTGTCTTTATCTTCATGATTCTAAAGAATATGATTATCGCCCTAGCTCAGGGGTGGGCAAACTTTTTGACTCGAGGGCCACAATGGGTTCTTAAACTGGACCGGAGGGCCGGAACAAAAGCATGGATGGAGTGTTTGTGTGAACTAATATAAATTCAAAGTAAACATCATTACATAAAAGGGTACGGTCTTTTTTTTTTTTTTTTAGTTTTATTCATTTCAAACAGGCCGGATCCGGCCCGCGGGCCGTAGTTTGCCCACGGCTGCCCTAGCTGGTTTGGCTCAGTGGATAGAGCATTGGCCCGTGGAATGAAGGGTCCCAGGGCCACAATGGGTTCTTAAACTGGACCGGAGGGCCGGAACAAAAGCATGGATGGAGTGTTTGTGTGAACTAATATAAATTCAAAGTAAACATCATTAAAAAAAAGGTCTCTCTCTCTCTCTCCCCCCCTCCCTTTCATGCCCTCTGAAAATCAATGGAGCCCAGCCGGCGTGGCTTAGTGGTTGAGTGTAGACCTATGAACCAGGTGGTCACAACTGATGAAATGAGGGAATAGTGAGAAAAAGGTAGAAATCAAAGGTGACTGGGTCACTGGAGGCTGTTTCCTGCTTCCCTGTTTTTTTTCTCGTTGCTGTTATAGAGTGGAAGTGATATATGACTTTGAATAGCAGACACTGACTTTGCTGTGCTTCCCTCAGCCACAGTCTCACCCCTCTCGCCCATGCAGTGCCAGTTCTTCCGTGTAACACTACACACACTAAACTATCTCAGCTGTTTTTGACTCCCCACATTACTGCGTCCTTTTAGGACTATTTTCACAGATCCTTAGTCTTTTTTAAGGGGGCTTTTCTGTGGGTGGTAGGGAGTGTCCCAGACTCTTTCAGAATCTTATGCATGTTTTAGAGGGTTTATCAACCCTGAGTGAATATCTCCTGGTATAAACTTTGTACTCAGAAGAAGAGTGAAAGTTTAACTCTCTCTGGAAGTTACAAACAATTTAAGGTTTACAAGTAAAAATAAATGCTAGTATTTAGGAGGTAAGATTAACGGATGTCTAGGCAAGCCAAATTCTTTCCTGTGGCCTGTTAAGCTCTATCTGCTCCATGATTTGGTCCCTTGCCATTTTTTTAAAAAAAATATTTTATTGATCTTTTACAGAGAGGAAGGGAGAGGGATAGAGA